TTCTCACACCTCAACCTCAATTTGTATATGCTCGGAGGGGGTCCAGACAACGCAGGCCTCCGGATACATACACCCCTAATTAGTTAGTTGTGATGTATTCGTGGATTTTGTGTTTCATTTTCAGATGTTGGATTGTATGTACAAACTGAATTATATCGTTTTGTATATATTGTTTGTTTAACAAATTATTGTGTTTTTTCATTTGTTTTGTTATAGTATATGTTGGATTATTATTGGGCAGATATGTTGATATTAGTTGCTCGAACAGGTATATTTGATTTTTGGGTAAAATTTGAATTTTAACAAGTTTTTTCAATTTTTTTCTTATAAAAACGTATTTAATAAATACGTTTTCTTTTTAAATTAAATTTAAATAATATGAAACAATTTAAAACGTATTTCATAAATACGGTTTAATTATTTAAAAAAATTAAAAAAAAACGAAAACGTAAACGTATTTATGAAATACGTCTTTATATTTTAATACAATTAAAAAAAAATATAATTTGAAAACGTATTTAAGAAATACGTTTGGATAGTTAAAAACAATTTAAAAAAAAAATAATTTGAAAACGTATTTATAAAATACATTGTAAAGTTGATTAATTTACTTAATTAGGATAATTAGTGTAGACGTGTTCAAAGAATACGTTTTTATTGCAAACTTTATATAAGCCGTGTTCAAGGGATACGTCTTCTAAATAATTTATGTAAAAAACGTATTCCTTGAATACGTGTGTTTTATTTTGTTCCACACCTTTTTTTTCTTTTTTTTTTTTTTTGTCCACTTATTTTTGTTTTTTTTTTTTGGTAAAAAATTCTTAACTAGAGACCGGCTAAAAATAAATAAATTTTAAAAGGAGACAAATATACGCCATTTACTCCCAAGCCCTGTGTAATTAATCATCGTCTCCCTCCACAAAACGAGAAAAAAAGTTACAGAAAAATCGCGGCAGATGAGAAATTCTATTGCTGGCAGAGTTTATCACTGCGCAAACAGAGGTTCAAGGAAATTAGGCCTTACCTCTGCTCTTTTCTCTCGTCATATTCATGAAATTCCAATCCCAGCATCCCCAAAACCTGGCTCCTACCTCGTTTTTGACAGCTTTCGAAATTCTCCGCAGCACGGACTTTGTTTCCCGTCGATTGCCCTCCTCCGCCGTTTACATGTCAGTTGCCCTACTGAGCAAGCTTGCAAGGACTCAGTCGACGGTGAGCTGTATGCTGTGTGCTTCGTAGAGATTTTTCTGCGTACCACGTGTTTGATAATTTGTCTCATTGATGCTTTCTGCGAGAATTTGAGGTTTTCCAAGCGAATAATGGTGTATGTATCATTATTATTTTTCTTACAACATATGGTTATGTAATCCCTTAGATCAAAAGGCATTTTACTGCGTGTAAACAAATGATGATGTAATATCTCAAGTGTTCTTTTTTTTTTTTTTTTTGGTATTTGTGATTATCTCTTTGAATTGAGTGAGTGGCTTACACTATTCATATCCTAATAGACATATAGTTGGAAGTTTAATTTAGAGCCTTCTCATTCTCGATTACAAAAGTTGTTCCTTCTTGTCATTGATTCCCTCACCGATTTCATAATTTTGATTGTAGTGTCAAATTGGTATTGCTTGGATTTTCATGTGTGCGTAAATCTTCAGATGAGTCCAATGGAGAAGTTGAGCCAATTGATACGTGGGAGGAAGAGGATGAAGCCGAGCCTGAGGTACGGTTCGACTTTGGAATTCCTGTTGTATCAAAAAGTGCCAAACTTTTAGCACTTTACTCGGTACTGTTTTGGCTGATAATAATATCACCAAGTGTAGATCGGTGATGGAGGTGATGGTGGTGGGATCGTTCTGCATAATTGCCCTTGGGGCCAAAAGGCTCTATCCATAGCCCTAGAGTTACTGCAAGATTTTGGTGAAGACATGAAGATTTATGCATTCAAAACTTCTCCTCGAGGGTACATTTATGTGAGACTCGACAAAATTCCGAATGAGTAAGTAATTATTTTCTTTTAACTTATATTATATTTAACAGCAGCTTATATTTATTATTTCTAAGATCATGCTCAGAAGACAATATGGATGAAAGGGAACCTATGTTTTTACTCCCAGTTCGCTTAATATATCCTATTTTGTTCAGTCCATCTATTTTTAACAATAGATGCAGAGTGAAAATTTTATTGTACATAATAAAAATGCACAATGATACTTATTACTGAGGAAAAGGAATAAATAAATAAGATAAATAGAGTAGAGTGATATTTTCTCCTGTTATTTCCACAATTTTTGATGGATTGGCAATCTCTAAATTAGTCATCATTTAAGGTAACTGTTGTTAATTGCCAATATTTATTATGAGGCTAAACAAATTATATTTTCACCTTCTCAACTAACTAGGACACATGATTTCTTTGATGTCGGAAATCAGAAAAAAAAAAAAAAAAAAAATGTGACAAAAAATGGAGGCAATTAGACCTTGCAGTTCCATTTTTCTCGATTCAATGTTTTACAAGTATTAAACAGATTTTGGCTGTTGTAACATATGAACAATGAACATTATTTCTTGATTTCCATGTCAAAAGAATATCCTCTTTGTAGACCAGATAAGTGAGTGGTTGTTTTCTACTATTTCATCTGTCTTCAATCAGATACGGTTGTCCAAGCATGGAGGAGATTGAATCTTTCAGTCGAGAATATAAGAAAAAATTGGATGAAGTTGGTGCACGAGGAGACATCCCTGATGATTTAGCTCTTGAGGTAATATTCTGACTAGCTCCGTACTCTTATATTATCACCTTATGCTCTCTGATTTATTTTCCTAGTGCTTTTTTTCTTAATAAACCCAAATAGCTATTTCTATATTATAAATAAATAGTATTTATACTTCTTCTAAATGATAAAGATATTTTCTTCTTAAGGTGTCGAGCCCAGGTGCCGATAGGCTGCTAAAAGTTCCGGATGACCTGTTAAGGTTCAAAGATTTGCCAATGTCAGTCAGCTACATGGAGAATTCGAACACTAAATGCCAAGAGAAAAATGGAGTTTTCTTTCTTGACTCAATTGAAACCGAATCAAGATGCTGCATTTGGAAACTTGCAGACGTGAGGGAAAATCTAGATCCTTCAGCTAAGGGGAGGCCACTGAGCCGTAAGCAGAAAGACAGCAGACTAAAACTATCATATGACACAATAGAGCGGGTTACGCTTTATATTAGATGCTAATGATTAGTGAAGGTTGTTATTTGCTGGCTTCTGTTTATGGTAAACTTTGCAATGCGACTGGATTTATGACTTGGGATATGAAGCAAGTTTGGTTAGAATGTTTGCCAGGAGGATAGTTTAACATCACTTTTGGAGTGTTGGGTATTAAATCGGATGATGGTTTCCTTGCAAAGTCGATTGTACATTCGTTTTGAATGTGGCAAAAAGATTATGTTAGGTTTGATGCAGAAAAATCTAGTGGGATGCAAGTTGTTAAACGAAATGAGCCGCTCGTGAGCTCGACTCAGGTCGGCTCATTTGATGAACTAGCCGAGCTCGTGCTCGCTTAAAGTTCGTTTTGCTAACGAGCTGGGCTCGACTCGGCTCGAAAAAAGAATTTTTATGTAATTTTCTGTAGTTCCGCTATTTAAGGCTCAAACTCTATTCACTAATATTGATAAAAGAGCGGAACTCGAGCTTGATTTTTGGTTCGTTTACTTAACGAGCCGAGCTGGGCTTGACTCACTTACAAGCCTTGATGCAACTTGTGTATTCACTATTCAGGCTCCTCGGGTTCTCGGAAATTCAAAAATTCTGTAAGTTCTATTAATTTTCGCCACCACCCATTTTTTGAGCAAT